CAAGTTCAATAATCAATTGGAACCAGCCGCAAGGCTTAGATATAATAATGGCAGACCTAAGTCCATTCCATCAGTTTTATCATGTCAAGTTATGTTCTTTTTTAAGCCAGCAAATAAAATTGCCTGTATGGACCACATCATAAAGTTAAATCAAACCCCAAAGAAATGACCATAAAAATAAATTGTGTTTCTATTCAATACCATTAGAGGTCCTATTAACTTATGTCTATTTGGAGATTACTCTGTTGAACATCAAAGAAAATGTACATATGATATGAGCCTGTACATCCCTGAAAGATAGATAGTGTCAAGATTCTAGACCCAAACATATTGCCCTCACGTTCATAGTCCAATTATTCAACAAATAGATAAGTAATGCACTAGAAGATAGCTTCAAATACCATTTCTTTTACATTTATGAAAACAAATTGGTCAGGATACCACAATCTTTGAGCTAAGAAGCACAGATACGGAAAAACGACACTGATACGATATGAACATATACGGGGTTTTATATATCAAGTGATGTAATTTGTCACTACAAAAAATTGATTTGATAATAGTATTATGCAAAATAAAGAAATCAATACTTTATGATCAATAAATCTAATGTGTTGTCCACTGATGTGAAATTTTTGAATAATGGATCGTAGTAGTCTACAACCATCTATTTATGAGTAGCAAATATGCAAAATTACAATGATAGCTCCATCTTTCCAAGTCTTCTTCTTTAGTAAAACTTTTACATGTCTTTTGTTCTTATCAGTAAAATTTAAATACAACTTTAAAATAATTAGTCCTGGCAATCTTATATTCTTTCATAGTATAAAATATTGATTTTTCAAAATTTTCAAGATTTGTCAATTATATGTTGACACATGTTTAGTTTTAATCATAGACACGAACTAAACAAGTGTGAGACACGTCACCAAAGAAGTGTTGGACACGTGCCCAAAATTAAGAGTTTATTTTTTCAATTATGGACACTACAAAAAGAGTTTCAGACACGTGTTCGAGAATGTCCTACAAGTTGATTTTGTCTGACACATATTAGACATGAATACGTCATCTTCCTGATAGTGGTCATGTTTCTTAGTCCGTAAGTTCGCTTCTATCTAGAAAAACAAGTACCACAAATCATGAATCATCCATATGCTCGAATTATGGTGAAATAGTTAAAAAGGTTCGATGAATAAGAAAAAGGCGTAGAAGCACGAGGAGAAGATGAAGGAGGAGGAGGAGGAGGAGGATAAGGCTACGGTAGATTGGTAAAAGGAGAACGAGAAGGACAAAGAGAGTAGGAGAGAACTTGTACGCGCGTACATCCGTATGTATGCACACAATCTTATGTACAAATGGTCAAGGGATGTAAGGCAATGTCAGGCTTAACAAATTTCAGTTGGAGGCTCCAAAGTGACTACAAGCTTAAACTATGTTCCCAATTTCAAATTTCATCCTACAACAAAAATACTACACTTATCATGGTCAAGGTGATTTTGTCTTGATGGTTATACGACCATATGTTTTCTAAGAAATGATATCAAAAAGTGTATCATAATACAATGCATTTTTGCAAAATAATGTATCATGTATCATAACGTATCGTGTGTTGTAAGATACACTTAATTTAAGTGCTTATTAAACATATATATGCATATAGACCTACAAATACATAAATATATAGTGCCCCAAATAATAGCAATATCATTTCATGTAATGCGTGTTTCCAATAGAGACTGAAAGAAAGACAACTATTTGTCTTAAAGATAGAGATTAAAACATAGTTAAGGTTTTGTCTATTTAAAGGTGGAAGAGGAGAAATAGAAAAGGATGTTAGGAGAAAAGAAAGATGATAGAAGGCTTCATTTGTTTGAGACCAAACAAAACAAGAAAAAATAACATATAGGAAAAAATAATTTTGTTAATAAAATAAAAAAATGTAAATCTTTGACATTTTTTTCTATGCTTTTTTATAGATTGAGGACTTAAGAGTTCAACTATTTCATATTGACTTTTTAAAGGTACACTTTGTTTTGATATTTCAATATTATAATCTGTAAATAATTTTGAAGTTTCTTTCTTGATATATTTTTCTTGTTAGTGTTACTTTCATGTTTTTCTACTTTACTATTATGCCATTTTCTTATTATTCTACTCTTTATTTTATGTTTTACTTTATTGTAAGCAGGGATGAAACAAGGAATTCATGAGGGGACCAAATAAAAGCAGTGATACAATTAAGTATTTAATGAAATGAGATCATTAGTATTGTATTTTTAATTATGAAGACTCTACCACTAGATGATATTATCACAAAAACTTAGTTCATAAAATTGAAAAACTATTTCTTACTTATCATTGAAAAATTTTATTTGTGACAATTTCATGACTATTTATTCCCTCATTTATGACATGATGAAAAAAATTTGAATAATATAGCATCATAAATATTCACATGATACTATTGTAAACGTTAGTTGTGAGTTAGTGCATTATTGATGATATAAAGTTACATTCTCTATACATGATTTTGTAGCAAATTTTCTTCTTTTTTCTGTTGGTCATCAAATTTGCCCAAGTAAATATTTTCTTCTGTAAGAAGCCATTCATCCATATGAACAATATTCCCTATTTGGTTATTAAATGTTTAATGTGATGCTATTATATTTTTTTAATACACTAATTGAATATCTTTTATACAAAAAGAAGTTTTTGAAAACCTACAAGGACATATTATAATTCTTTAAAACCTAAAGGGGGAACAAGGTAATTTTGAAAATATGAGGGGGGTCATGGCCCCCTCGTTCTCCACGTAGTTATGTCTCTGATTGTTAGTGTCTTCAATATCAATCTAATATAAATAGGTGATAAGATATTGACAACATACACCCTACACACTATTATTTCATATTCTCTTTTCTCCTCTCTTCTTCTCTTTCTTTTCCTTCACCTTCTCTTCTTCTCTTTCTTTTCCTTCACCCTAACATAGTATTATTCAAGTTTAAATTTGGAAAGAGCAAGATAATAGGGTGAGTGGGCCCAGTCCTAGGCAAGCACTTCAAAAGATTACACATCAAGCTGTAATCTTTTGTGTTTATTAATCGGCTACTATGATCATTATCAATTACTATAGGACGCCTGAATCTGTATTCGTGTCTTCCCTGATCATCAACGCAAATTTTAGTGCTTTCTTAGTTCAGTATTGATTTAGTGATTTTTAGCTCAATTTTAGTTTGGTAGTTTTCATTCTAATTCAATTCCATCTCAGTGTTTTCAGCCCGGTCCTATTTCAATTCAATGCTTTCAACTCGGTTTAGTGTCAATTCTGAAGTTTTTGGCACAGTTTGGTGCTAGTTTAGTCGTTTTTATCCCGATTCATTTTCAATTCAGTGTTTTCAATCCGATTCAGTGCTAATTTTGTAGTTATTGATTTTGTGGTTTTCAGCACTAGTTCAGCCCTTCTTTTGGTTGATTCAACATTGGTTCTACTTAGTCTATCCTACTTTTCATTGTTCAATTTGTTGTTGTTCGTGGTGTTTTGGGTGTATTCGTTTGTGCCGCTATTGTTAGAGTGGTTGTGTTTGTCCTTTGCCGTCACCATATTATTTTCCTTTGTGTTGTCGTGATCATTGTTCACTATTACTTATCTTAGTGTGTTCATTAATTGCTTATCTAGAGAATCAAAGGGATGTCTTAAACTCACATGAAGCAACAACTTGGATGTATTGCTCAGGGGGAGTATTGTGGTAGTGTTTGTCAATTAAAGAAGTCCCTAAATAGTCTAAGGTAATCACCAGAGCTTGGTTTTATCATCATTATTGTCTACGTGAAGATATTGCGGTCAACTCAATGATTTTCTCACCAAACCATTAGTTTGGTCCACCTTTAAGAGCCTCTATTCTAAGTTGGGCATTTATGATCTTTATACACCAACTTGTGGGAGAGTGTTAGAATGTTTCTTTCCTATTATGCCACTTTCCTATTATGTTCTACTTCCTTATAAATTCAACATCAATTTAATATAAATAGGTGATAGGGTGTTGGCAACACACACACTACACATAAAATTGTTTCATACTCTGGTTCTTACTATCTTCTTCTCTTTATTTTCCGTAATCTTAACATACAATTATTTTAGTTCCAACTGTATTAATTGACATTATTGATATATTCCAATTTCTTAATATTTTTAGAGGATAAGGCTAGGAGAAGACCAATTTCTTTATCTCATTTTGCGTTAAATTATATTCTATGGACTGTCAACGATTTATGCCCATGGGGCATTCTTTTGGCCATTTTACCTGACATTTAGGGTTACACGACTTAGGTCAAACTAGAACTAAAGTATTCCTAGGCGCACATATGCAATGCAATAGCAAGATACCAAACAATCAAGAAATAACACAACCAATAGTTTAGAAAAGATAGGCATGGAACTTACAATGCTTAAAATTGAAAATATGAAATTGAATTTTACTGCTTGATGGAAAATATTATATATTGTGGAAAGAGTACACTCATTAAACAAAGAAGGCTCGAGTATATTACTTACTCTTGATTGTTATTCTAGCACTGACCCTCCATGACTAAAGTGAACAATCAAAAATTCTGTCCAAACCAACAAAACTACACAAAAAGACTTTAATACCTGCTACCAATTTATTTTATATTTACTATAAAAGTAAAATTAGACCCAATAGATCAACCCCAACCAAATTCTGGCGAGCCCAACCTAGAATACACCCAATCACCCACACACATCACCAACGCACTACCCACGCCACCACCAAAAAGCCACAAATTTTAGGTCTTGAATTTGGATATTTTATGGGGGCACATAATTATTATAATTTGTGGGTATTTGATGAATTCCACGAACCAAATGATGGAAGTGAACTTTTTGGGGCAACAAAAGAAAGACCGCATTCAAAAAATGTTTTCTATAAGTTTTAGATGGCCAAGACTGCCGATTAGAAAATTTTATACAAAAAGTAAAAGACATGAGCCAAAAGAGGCCCCTAGCAGTGCAACTTGCTGAAGCATCTCTTTTATATATATATTCTTTTGAAACCCGTATTTTGGTGGACTTGAAGTTATTTGAGGAGGACTGGAGAAGCCTAGCAATAATAATAGAGTGCCACCTGTCTCTGCAACATCTAATGGCTTCCAATTTTCTTCAAAAAAATTTAGCAGAGGACCAACCAAATCGAACAACCAATTTTCGGGGGTTTTGTCTTGGTTGGAAATTCGCCGGAGTTAAGCCAGAGAAGACGACAATCCGTTCAAGAGAGAGAGAGAAGTGATGGGGTGGATTTGAATTGGGTTAATTTAATGTTGGGTTGGATGTTTATTTATTTGGGTTTTCAGGGTGTTTTGTCTTTTGACGATATTAATTTTAGGAAGAATTTTTTTTTTACATGCCACGTCGTCACTTTAACTATGCACTTAGGTCCACAAACCACATAAAGGTCATGTGGCTATTTTTTAATGTTAGGGAGGTGATGTGCACGTTGGTCCAACTACATGGGGATAAAGTGAAGTTTGCCCTTATTATTATAATTGTATTTTGTCTTCTTGTAATGGACATCACAACACCATAGAAAACTAATTATCTCCGTCCAGGGGCGGATTTCTAGTAGGGCCAACTGTCCCCGCTGTAATTTTCCAAAATAATTGGGGTATACTTGATTTTTTAAAAATTCTAAATTTTTTAAGAATTTGCCTCCAATAAAAATTTTAGGAGTAGTTTTATATTTTACAAAACATGTAGGATGTCGCCACCATCATCACCTGCCTCATCCAAACCCACCACAACCTCAAAGATAAGAGATGAATCAACTATAAACCAGCCAAAATCAGCCAACAAATTAGAGTGAGGGGTAGAAGAGAAAAGGAGAAGGGAGTCGTGCAACCTTCAATGGCAGCTCAGCCTGCCTAACTTCCTTGCTTTGTAGGATAATGTAAAGATATTTTTTTGGGCTTCTTGTTGATGTTGGGAAAAGGAAGATAAGAGAGAGAAAATGACATAAAGAGAAGGGGGGACAAGAAAAGAGAGATGAACAAGCGTGTGGGACGAGAAGAGGGAAACAGTCTGAAAGGGGGGAGAATAGGGTGGCGTGTGTAAGAAAATGGAGGAGGGAAATAAGGAAAAAATAGAAAAAAATTGTGACAAGGAATGGAGGTTCTAGACTCTAATTATTTTGCCTATGACCAAGTGGCCCTACTGACCTCTAAACATACATATATGATATGCATGCACATTTGATGGACATGAGTCATAAGAGATTATATGTGAGAAAAGAAGTCATCAAAGCTTATTTTGACCACATCCTGGAGATTTATTCAAACACCATTTTGTGCATAGAAATATTCTCACTTAAATGCATACAATGGGTTGAACCCGCAATCATTAAACCC